TAATGGCACAGCAAATCGCAATGTTGTCAGATCAAATTCAACAGTTGCAGAGAGCTGCAACCCCCCCCCCCCACCGCCAAGGAGGAATTGCCCAGTAGCCATGCCAGATAAATATGATGGCAGTCTGGCCATGTTTGCAGCATTCTTGGGACAATGCCAGCTGTTTATTAGCCTGAGAGCAGAGGACTTTCCCACTGACCGGATGAAGGTGGAATTCATGATTAGTTTGCTCTCAGGCACAGCTGCCCAGTGGGCTACCCCCTTGTTAGTTCAGCAGAGCCCTTTGTTGGATGACTTCCAGGGCTTTTGCCAGTATTTCAAACGGATGTTTGAAGATCCAATCAAGGGGGAAACATCCGTTAGAAGTTTGAAGTCACTGCAGCAGGGGAGTGGTTCATTGCAGGACTATGTGACGGAATTCCAGCTGCGTAGCCAGGATTCCACGTGGAATGAACCAGCTCTAATGGACACGTTCCAGGATGGATTGTCTGAATTTTAAATAGACTAAGGGATAGGGGAAATTTTAAGGGAGCGCCCTTCAATCTTTCTGACTCAGTTATGTTCCCTTGGTAATATGATCGATGAAATACTTTTTTTAAACAGATGCAATTCTGATTTTTACAACACATTTGCTCTATGCTTTATTGAATCCTGGCTGAGCAAGGAATTTGATGACAACAGCATGAAGATACCAGGGTTTCAGATAGTTAGAGCAGACAGGATTGCAGAATCATCAGGTAAAAAGAAGGGAAGATGCTTATGTATATATATCAACAACAATTGATCTCAGGATATAACTATAATATATAAATTCTGTGATGAAAATTTAGAGTCTTTCCTTATCAACTACAAACCTTTTTATTCTCCACAAGAGTTTTCCTCATTTTTTCTAATTACTGTGTATGTGCCTCCACAAGCTTGTGTAAACAAGGCTTTATGAACTCTAGCTGATCAGATTATGGAGGCTGAAGCCAAATACCCAGATTCACTGGCCATTATTCTAGGTGATTCAACAAAGGCAACTTAAGAAAAGAGCTTCCAAAATATTTTCAGCATTTCAATTGTCGTAGAGGCAAGAATATTTTAAACCATTGCTACACAACACTAAAAGATGCTTATCGATCCTTACCATGAGCAGCAACTCTGATCATTGCATGATTCACCTTGTACCTACTTACAGACAAAGACTTAAAGCCACAAAACCAACAATTAAATCAGTGAGGACTTGGACTGAGGAGGCAGAGTTAAAGCTACAGGCTTGCTTTGACTGCACTGACTGGAATATTTCTTTTATATATATATATATTTCATTTTCATAACCTATAGGCTCATGTATATTATTACATAACCAACATCTTATATTATTAACTGTTTACATCATTTTGTCTTACCATCAACTCCCAAAAACAATTATTGGCTCTTCTGTTCTCCATAAACCTTATCCATCACTTTTTTCTCCCTCTCTCCTCCTGCTCCCTATCTCCTTTCTTCCCTCTGTCGTCCTTCCCTTCTCTACTTCCTCTTCCTCTCTCTTTCTCCCCTTTCCCCTTTCCACTCCTTCTTTCTCTCCTTCTCTTCCCCCCCCGCCCTCTCTCCTCTTCCTCTCTTCTTCCCTTTCCTCTCTCCTCTACTTCACATATGTTAAAATTAAATATGTATATTGAAAGGGAATTATAAATACCATCAACATAAAATGGAGCTCGCTCAGAGGCTGGAATACACCAAATAAATGAGATGAAGAGTGTGACTGGAATATTTTTGAAGAAACCTCTAAAGACCTAGATGAACTCACAGATATTGTAACTTCATATGTCAGCTTCTGTGAAGACCTATGTGTACCGACCAGGAACTTGTGAATATACAGTAACAATAAACCTTGGTTCACAGCTAAATTTAAGCAGTTACATCATTCCAAAGAGGAAGCCTACAGAAAAGGTGATAGAATACTGTAAAATCAGGTCAGAAACATATTTAACAAAAAAGACCAGAGCAGCAAAAAGAAGCTACTCTGAAAAGCTAAGGAATCAGTTCTCAATAAATGAACCAGCAAACCAGAAAACTCTTTAAAATATCACCGGTTATGGCAAACCTCCTTCCCAGGCTGAAGAAAATCAACAACTGGCAGATAACCTGAACGTATTTTACTGTGGATTTGAAAGGAAACTACAGCCACCTATCTCCACAACCTCCATCCCAGACACACCAACAACAGCCAAACCTCCTACAACTGACCCTATCCCATTGGGTTCACAACCTTGGTGATCACAGAAAAGGAAGTGCAAGATCTATTTTTAAAAAATATATACTTTATTGAAAAGACAGTGCCTTGTCAGGGTAATAATTACAAATAAAGCAAAGCCAAAGAAAAATAAATAGCAAATTTTAACATACTTAACAAGCTAATAACTATAACAGTAATTATAATAAATTATAATAAAACTAAATTTATATTTACATTAGCCTATTTACAATTTATTCATAATTCTATAGCATCTTTATTTATTTTCCATAGTAACAGTTGTCAACTTCCCTCTCATTTCTACCTCTTGTCTCTATCCATTCATAAAATTTATTCCATGTCCTATAATATTTTGAATCCTCTTTATCTTTAATTTTTAAGGTTAATTATCGATTTCAGCACAATCCCAATTTTTTCTAATTATATCATCATACAATGGGGTGTTCACATTTTTCCAATATTTAGC